TCAGCCTCCTGAGCCTCTGGGATTATAGGCACACATACAACTTTTAAAAATAGTGTAATGGTTAATTTGAATTGTCAACTTGATTGCATTAAGAGATGCCAAAGATTAAGGGAAAGATGGGTGTGTCCATGAGGGTGTGTCTAGGAATGATTGGCATGTGGGATAGCCAGTTGAAATGGGGACCCCCCTAAGTGTGGGCAGCACCAACCAATAGGATGCTGGCATGGATGGAATGAAGGTTGGAAGCACAAGGAAGCAACAGCAGATGCAAGCTTGATTCTTCTTGAATTGGATCGCTGCTGTGATCCTCTGAGGATATCCCATTCTTGCTTCTTCCTTCTTCTTAAGTGGAGACTCTGTCAATGATTCTCCAGGGAGTTTCCAGAAGCCTTCAGATGAGGAGAGCTCTATTGATCAGACTAGGATAGCTCTATTGATCCATCTTGTTCCAGGTTTCAGCCTCTTGGACTGGGCAGTACTGGTCCTTCCAGCTCTCCAGCCTGCAGATGGCCATTGTGGACTATCCAGCTTCTGGTCGCAGAACCAACCTAAAAAGTCCCCCTCTTATAATTATACTTCCTGTTGATTCTGTTCCTCTAGAGGACCCTAATACAAATAGGCTTTATTGAGACATAAATTAAGTATCATACAATTTACCCAGTTACAGTGTAGAAGCCAGTGGTTTTTAGTACATTCTCAGGTTTGGGCAGCCATCACTATTGTCAAGTTCCAGAATATTCTCTTCATCCCACAGATCCATCCTCATCGGGCTGTTCCTCAGCCCATGGCAGCTGCCACCCTGCTTCCTGCACCATACTTCTTGAGCCCCCTTCTCCCTTTTGTGTCCCCCTTTCTCCCTATTCCCTGGAAAGTTCTTGCTTGGCCTCTCTGGCCACCTAGCTGCCCACCTGCACTCCCAGGGCCCTTTTCTGCCCGCATTTAGTCTGCACTGACTTCCACGCCTCTCTTCTCACACTGCTCCTCCAAGCCCTGTCCTCCATCCCCAGCTGCTGCTTGACCTTCCTAACTTTAAAAAAAATATCCCAAATCAACCCATTCCCACCTCAGACTACCTCTCCAGAACAGTTTCCCGTCGCAATTGATGGCAATTCATAAAAGTCTTGCAAAGCCCCAGGGAGTCCCCTCTCTCCTCCTTCATGAAAAAAAAAAATATATACCCACATGCCACCCAAGTTGTCCACTGTCACCTCTTTCTCTTGTTACCACAGTGGTGGGCTGGAGCTGCAAGGTACCGATCTTATATGGAAGAGAGGTCACCTCCCTCACACTGGGTGCATCCCACTCCCCAAAAGGAAAATGCTGGTAGCTGACTCCAATGTGTGTGTGTGTGTGGGGGGGGCACTTTGAGGTTTGTGCGGGGGGACAAGCAAGAATCAGCAGGAACTCTTGGTAAAATGCTGTGGGGCAGGGATGCCGGTCCTCAAAGTGACCTAACTTGCTCTAAAAGCATAGGAATCAAGGACCAGGCACAGTCTTAGCTATTCAGGGAGCGGAGGCAAAGGATTCCCGGAGCCCAGGAGTTCAAGAGCATCCCGGGCAATGCAGGAAGACTCTATCTCAAAAAAAGGAAGAAAGGAGGAAAAAGAAAAGGGAAAGAAGGAAGGAAGGGAGAGAAAAGGAGACGCCCCTGTTCAAGAACAGAGCTGAGAAATAGGCCTGAGTCCGTGAAAACTTTAGCAACTAATAAGGACCAGAGAGGGCAGGAAGCCTGTCACAGAGGTGGTGGGTCACGTGGAGGAGCAACTGCAGAAAAGAGTGAGATTGGGTCTCTACCTCTTTTCAGTTCCCAATTTCAAACTCCCCCTACCCCGGTTTTAGTCAGCTTTTGTGTTGCTGTGACCAAACTAGAGGAAGAAAAGTTTATTTTGGCTTGTGATTGCCAGGCCCCCCTGTGCGAGCAGGGTGCCCCCATGGTCTCTTCTCAAAGAAGTCTTGAATTGTACACCCTTGAGCCTGAGATGGGTTTAGTTTTGCCCATCTCTGAGGTGCCCTCACCTCAAGCCATCGGTCCTATTATCTCCGAGCGACATACTTAGCATCTCTTTGGTGACTGTGATGTCTTTAACAACCACGACTTGCTTAGCCCCTGTTTTATTTGCACTTTTCTTACTTATGGCCAAACTGCAAGTTTTCCGAATATTTTTTTTTTTTTTGCCTTCTGCTCTTGATCATCACAGTAAACTTCACTACTTCACTAAAAGGTGCCAGGAATATTCATAACACCACTTGAATTTTGTGCTGCCAGATTAGTTCATACCTTACCTTTAAATTCAGCCTCACAAAAAGTCTCAGGACCCGGGGTTGGGGCTGGGGCTCAGCGGTAGAGGGCTCCCCTAGCACGTGCAGGGCCCTGGGTTCCATCCTCAGCACCCCGTAAAAATAAACAAATAAAATAAAGGTACTGTGTCCAACTACAACTAAAATGTAGACAGCTTCTTTGCTGGAACATAACATAAATGGCCTCAACTGCCCGGGAAGCTCCGATTACAATGTTCTAAGGCGTCTCCAGGCTGCACTTCTAACTCTTCAAAATCCCTCCCTTTGCAAACCAGTTCCAGGGGTTTCTGAGCCATGTGGTCAGGTTAGTCACAACAGCACCCTGCTTCTCAGGACCAATTTCTGGTTTAGTTAGCTTTGGCATTACTGTGACCAGAAGACCTGCAAGAACAACACAGAGGAGGAAAAGTAGTTCGTTTTGGTTTACAGTTTCAGAGATTCAGTCCACGATTGGCCGACTCCAGAGCTGTGAGTCCAAGATGAGACAGACATCATGGCGCAAGGCAAGGTTGAAGAAGGCCACTCAGGACATGTCAGCCAGCAAGCAGAGAGGGTCCATTCACCCAAGACAAAATAAAAACCCCCAAGGCAAGCCTTCAGTGACCTAATGCCTCCACCCGCACTCTACAGTCAGTGCCCAGTCAATCCATCAGCGTATCAATTCATTGATGGGTTCAGGCTCTCATTATTTAATCATTTCACCTCTGAAAATTCTTGCATTGTCTCACATATGAGCTTTTGGGGGACATTTCATATCTAAAACATAGCACCCCATGTATCAAAGATGTCAACATAACATAAAAAACTTTGAAATCAGCCCTGAACTCAGATGGGAGAATGTGTCATCAAGGAATGGAGAAACTCACTTCACTGTGGGAGACTTGAGAAACCACAGCAGGTGGGTGAATTTGACCCTCAAGGCCTAAAGGGTCACTGGCAAAGTTAAAGACAGAGGGGGTCTGAGCAGGGCTCATTCCCCCACCCCCACTCCCAAATAAAAAAAGACCAGCAAGACAGGATGGTGTGCTGCAGGAGGGGACATCCAGTTGGCTCTGAAACACATAAACAGAGGCTGAGTTTTAGTCCAAGGGGAAGAATGAATTAATGTGACCAAGCCAGGTGTGATGGCAGACACCCAGAGTTCCAGCTTCTCAGAGAGCTGAGGCAGGACGATTGCTTGAGCCCAGAAATTTAGGATCAGCCTGGCAACATAGTGAAACCCTGTCTCAAAAATAAATAAAACAGGGACTGGGGCTGGGGCTAAGTGATAGAGCGCTTGCCTAGCACGTGTGAGGCCCTGGGTTCGATCCTCAGCACCACATAAAAATAAATAAAATAAAGCTATTGTATCTATCTATCTATATATATATATATATATATATTAAAATAAACAAAGTGACCAAGACCTTTTCCCTCAGGACCACCCTTATTTTTCTCATGGAAGGTTCTCTGTGATGGAGTGCTCCACAAAGCTAAAGTGCAGAGGGGACCACAAGCACATGTGTGTTTGTATTGTGACAACACCCAAGTGCAAGACACAAAGATTGGCTTGCAAATGTGGCTCCAGAGACCTGTGACCTTTCTTCTCTTTCTGATGTCAAGACTATTAGATGGTTGGCTGTGTCCCCTCTTGACCATGCAAGCCAAGTCTATGAAGCAAACAAACAAACAAAAAATAAGCGTGAAGACATGAGCAGTGCCCACAGACCAAAACAACAATGGCCAATGACCTTGACCATGGGGTCAAGAACCCGCAGTGAGAGGCCAAATCAATTCAACAAGGTGCCACTAGGAGGCAAGGGCAGAAATTTGGGCATTCCTCCCTCTTGAGTGAGGACCTCAGAGTCCTACCACGAACTCCCACAGGGAAAAGAGAATTTCTGGAGGGTGGCAGCAGGCACCAGGAGGAATCTCCGATTAGTATTGGGTTTTGGGGAAAACTGCATGATTTTGCACAGAGAAGACGTTTTCTCTCTCTCTCTCTCTCTCTCTCTCTCTCTCTCTCTCTCTCTCTCTCTTTTTTTGCAAGAGAAAACGTTTTTACAAACCATACCTCTTGTTTACCGGTTAAGTGTCCTTCCCTGGGCTACCGGTTAGGTGTCCTTCCCTTGAACCTCATGTTGGTTCAAGTTTTGCAAAGTAACAAAACTGGGGCTGGGGATGTGGCTCAGTGGTAACGACCTTGCATAGCATGCGTGAGGTCCTGTGTTCCATCCTCTGCAGCGCAAAACAAAACTTCGCCAAGCTTGTTTTCAGAACATAGAAAGTATGGGGCGGGGCTGAGGTGCATGGAGGGCGTGGATGCAGAGGCTCGAGGCCCACAGGGGGAGGGGGCTGTGGCCAGTTTTACCACCCTGGGAGGGCGGTAGGATCAAGTGCCTGGTCTGTGAAGGCGGAGGCGGTGGTGTCAGGCGGGGAATAGGGGAAGAGAAGGGTTTAATTGGGAGGGGGAGAGTAGGGAGAGTAGTGGGAGAGTAGGAGCGGGGTCATGCCCATAGGAGGTCTTATGGCCCTGTGGGCAGGGACGAGGCGGGTCCGAGGCGGGGGAAGGGACGGAAAAGTAGTGCGGCAGCAGCCAGGCGGGGCCTGGGCCGGGCCTGGTCAAGGGACGTCGGGGCTAGACAGTGGGGTCCTCGGAAGATCAGGAGAGAGTGGGAGGAGCCTGGGGTTACCAAGCTAACTGCACTGGTTCTGGCCTCCAGGAAACCGCTGAGGAACGGACTGGTGAAGGACAAGCGCTTCTGAACCCCTGGACCCCCTTCCCCACCTCCCAGATCCGGCCCCGCCCCCAGGACACCCACCGAGCCCCTGGAGACACGGGTCCGCCCCCTGACGAGCCCTGTCTCTGGAGGCCCGGGTCCGCCCCCAGGACCCTCCACACCACACTTCCCGGGACCTTGGCCCCATCCAGCTCCGCCCCTCCAGGGCCCGGGGCTCTCGCGGCCACCAGTCCTGGGACCCCCGCCCCGCCCCCTCAGATCCCGCCTTAGGGATCTGTCCCAAGTGGACACGCCCCCAGGACCTGGGTCCCTCAAGGCACTCCAGCCCCGCCTTCAGACCATAGGTCCAGGGCTACGGCGGACCCTGCCACTCTGGTCATCGCCTGGGAACAAAATGCAGCCACCACGCCGCCGTTTCGGCCACCACCACCTCCTCCTCCTGGTTCTGCTGCTGCCCTCGCCGCCCCTGACCCGCGCCCCAGCGCCCCCGGGCCCTGCTGCCGCCCTACTCCAGGCTCTTGGGCTGCGCGATGGACCCAGGGGAGCCCCCACGCTCCGGCCGGTTCCTCCGGTCATGTGGCGCCTGTTCCGCCACCGCGACCCCCAGGAGACCAGGGCGGGCTGGCGACGGACGCCCTCGGGGGCTACCCTGCGACCGTGCCACGTGGAGGAGCTGGGGGTCGCTGGAAACATCGTGCGCCACATCCCGGATCGTGGTGAGTGGGGCCTGCGTGGGAAGCATGGGTCCGGGAGGCCGAGACTTCCTCCAGCGAGCCTTGAGCGCGGCAGAGCGAGACCAGAGTGACCGCGAGGGCCCCCACGCACCCAGTCCAGCCCACTACAGCCTGGGTCTCCGCACCCCATCCCTCCTAGTCCTCTGCGCGCCTGAGACACCCGCTCTGGCTTCGCGAGGGAGGGCCCCCTTGCCTTGGGCAGCCCCTGGCTTGCAGCCGAAGCCCTGCCCCCACTCCACTTCACACCGTTTGATGCCTTCTTGCAGGTGCCCCCCGCCATGTCCCAGCATCCCTTCCCCAGGGGCCTCAGGCGCTTGCTCATCTCTCTTTGCCTGTGTCCCCAAGTGTAGGGCAGCCTGCCTGCACCCTGCAGGGCCTCTTCCTTGTAGCTAGTGCCCTGCCCCCACTCTGTCACTCCCACCCCGCCGCGTCACACCTTGTGAAGCCTTCCAACAGATGGTGCGCCCCCAGCCCCAAGCTCTCACCTTCTTCCCTGTCCCCAACTGAGATCCTTTGTGTGGCAGGCCGGGCAGCAGGCGGGGACGCTGCCTAAACCAAGCTTTCTCATCTCTCCAGGTGCACCCACCCGGATCCCAGAGCCGGTCTCGGCCTTAGGGCTGTGCCCTGAGTGGACCGTCGTCTTCGACCTGTCGGCAGTGGAACCCGCCGAGCGCCCAACGCTCGCCCGCCTGGAGCTGCGCTTCGCGGAGGTGGGGACAGAGGCGGCAGCCCCCTCGGGCCGCTGGGAGCTGAGCGTGGCGCTGGCGGGCGAGGAGGCTGGCGCAGGCCCCGGGCCGGTCCTGCTCCACCAGGAGGTGCCCGCCCTAGAGCTGCCAGTGCGCGCCGAGCTGCTGGGCATCGCCTGGGCTCCCAACGCCTCGGCGCCGCGCAGCCTCCGCCTGGCGCTGGCGCTGCGCCCCCCGGCGCCAGCCACCTGCGCGCGCCTGGCAGAGGCCTCCCTGCTGCTGGTGACTCTTGACCCGCGCCTGTGCCACCCTCTGGCCCGGCCGCGGCGCGAGGCCGAACCCACGTCGGGTGATGGCCTGGGGGGCGTGTGCCGCGCGCGGCGGCTCTACGTCAGCTTCCGAGAGGTGGGCTGGCACCGCTGGGTCATCGCGCCGCGTGGCTTCCTGGCCAACTACTGTCAGGGCCAGTGCACTCTACCCGCCGCACTGCCGGGACCCGGCGGGCCACCCGCATTGAACCATGCGGTGCTGCGCGCGCTCATGCACGCGGCCGCCCCGGGCGCCGCTGGCCTGCCCTGCTGCGTGCCTGCACGCCTGTCGCCCATCTCTGTGCTCTTCTTCGACAACAGTGACAACGTGGTTCTACGGCACTATGAAGACATGGTGGTGGACGAGTGTGGATGTCGCTGACCAGGGGCGGGCAGGGAAGTTGTGGCATGGACCCAACAATAAAAACCTGGTGGTCTGCTCTGTTGGTCCTTGTCACCTTAGTGGGGAGGAATGGGCCTTTGCTATCTACACGCACCTGGCCACTGGGTTGCGCCACCATCCCAGTCCTCTCTACTGCCCCCAATCTCCAGGGGGGCCACAGGCCCAGATGCTGTGCCAGAGAGGCAAGGGCAGTGGTCTCCCGGAGAACCCTCTGCAGACAGCTGAGCCCTCTTCAAAGCCCTCCCAACCAGCCAGGTCCCCAGTCCAACCAGTGCCCTCCCAACACACCCCTGCAGTTCACTTGGCCCCATGTGAAAGCAAAAACTGTTTATTAATATTTTATTGGTGACAAAAGAGCTTAAAACAAATTGACCAAAAATCAAGTTACATCGCCTTGGTACAGATGCTCTTCAGTTTGTAAAACTCAAATGCTGCTAGGAAGGTGGAGGACAAAGCAAAGGGCACACAGCAGAGGCAAAGCATTCCAGCCAGAGGCAGGCGGGTTGCAGCTGCCCAGGGCAGCGCAGGGTCATGGCGGGAACCTACCCGAATCTATGCCTCTATGCAGCCTACCAAAAGAAGGGGGACCAAAAGCCCTACAGCAATGGGAATAAATAAGTCCTTGCCAGAAGGAAGGTGGCCTGTGCACTCCTGCCGGTCCCACATCAGCCAGAATCTGGAGGCTTTGGGATAAGGGCCTTGGACACCTCGTTGGGAGGGGAAGGCTGGGTGGGGTCACCAGGGCCTGGGCAGGCAGGACATGGTCTTCAGTGAAGTGGTCACCAGGCAGATAGCCACCCCAACCCACGTGGGCAAGGAGCTGGGTGGGGGCAGTTTTCCCAACAACTTCTGGCATTGTAAAACCTGAACCCAGACAGATGCCCCTCCACCAACTGAGGTGACGTGCTCCTCCAAGCCCCTTTAGCACACAGCCAGCTTCTCAGAAACTTCGTTTTTTCCGCAAAAGCAGAAACGGCCCCACGTCAGTGAGCTGTGCCAGCAGGTAGAGGGGCTCCAAATCAGGGTGGGTACTCGGCATGTTTACCAGCACGGGGACTGTGTGTGCCTCCCCAGTGACAGGGACAGACCTGCTTGGCTGTTGCCTTCCACTGCATCCTTGGGAAGGACCCTGGGGAAGCAGCCGCTGGACCAGAAACAGCCACCCTTCTGGCCCCTGGCCTTATGGCCAGTCCTGGCTGAGGTCCCATGGTGGGGCCACGAGCACCTTCCTCACGGAGCAGCTACAGCCCTACGCCAAGTCCACCGCGCAGGGAGCAGCTGTGCTTCTCAAGAGTCCAGTGGAGCAGGCGGGGCCTCCAGGCCAGGCGAGGCCACTGCTGCACCAACCTGCCACCTGCAGCGAGAAGCCTCTGGAAGCTAAAACTTAAAACAAAAATCCTCCTCGAAACCATGGCACAGGTGTTGATCCCAGTCTCCAGTTGCGCTGGCTTGTATAAACTTCGTTTCTGGAAGCTTCTTGCATCTCCTAGGTCCACCACTAAGATCTTAGAGACAAACTTAGGACAGTGTATTTTTCAGTACTCCTTCGAAAGAATCTTTAAAAAAACAAACAGAAAAACCCAAAACCATATTTTCTTTAAATGAAACCCCTCTTAAAACACAGGCCGCGTGACCTGGGCGGTCTGGGAGCCGATGTGGGCAGAACCCACACTCCTACGGCCCTGCGTGGCCGGCAGCCACCCACAAGGAGCCTGCTCAGGCACAGAAACGCCAAGTTTTTTCCTGCTAAAACGTAGTCCCCTTTCAATAAAAGAAAAAAGAAAGAAAAAAGAACAGAGGAAAGGGCTACTCTGAGATGAGGGTCTTCCTCCCTCCGCCCTGGTCGCAGACCCAGGTGTGGACGCAGCGAGCTGGGCCTCCTCGGCAGCGGGGCTGGACAGGGACTGGCCAGGCGGCTCCTGCGCGGCCGGCCCACCTCCCGCTCTCCCTTCTCCTTCTCCTCGCCGCCGCCGCGTGCCAGCAGGGGGCGCTCGCTCTGTCTCGGCTCCTCTCTCCCTCGGTTGCTCCTCTCCCTCTCCTGTTGCTCACACAGTGGTGCTTCAGTTTTAGCAGTGGAAAACAGGTATCCATTTATTTTTATTTTTTATTACCCAGAATAAGATGCTGATGGACTAAGCCACGTAGCTTAGCTCTTCCGCCGCCACCTGTGGGAGAAGGACAGGGCGAGAGACCCTTAGGGGCAGCATGGGAAGCCAGGATCTTGAGCTGCTGCCCAGATACTTAGGCACCTGGATGATACATGGGTGCCCAGGGACAGGGACTTACAAGGAGTGAGCAAAGTCGAGCGCTAAGGCCAGCAAACCCCGAGCTTTGGCAGCACCCCACTTGTCCAGCACACACAAGCTGGGGCAAGGGGACCCGGAGCCCACACTCACCCCACTCTGGTCCTATGTTATAGATGAGGAAACTAAAGCCCAGGTATAGGGATGCTCAGCAGAGCCTGGCAGGCGCTCAGAAGGCCCTCTTCAGGCAGCAAGCTGCCATCAGGGTCAGGGCCCACTGTCTTCCCGGCCCAGGCAACTGTGGGCCCCATATCCCTTTCCCTCAGGGGTTCTGGAATTAATTCTCAATGGGGGGACACACGTAGTGCCACTCTGACCCACAGTGGCAGTCACAGGACAAATTGGTCCCTTGGGGGCCAGCATGCATTTCCAGAATTTCCTCAAGAGTCCACAGCCCCAGTGAAAACCCCCGTACTGGCTCCAGACCCTTTTTCAGGGGAAGGGGCAGGGCTAAGGTCTGCTCAGGGTGACTTGCCTTCTAGTACTGGGACAGCCCCGTCACCCCGCCATGCTGGTACGCCCGTTCTCCCTGGTATGTGGAGTCTTGAGATAGCGCCACATCAATCTGTGATTTAAACTCATCACCAAGGTAACTGTCCTGAAAGACAAGGTCAGGGAATCAGGGAAGTGAGCAAGGT